AAAATAGGAGATGAAGATAGTTATTACAAGCACCTCCAAAATACTGTGTTAAATAATGTAACCCTATTCCGAAGATTGTCAGGAAAAAGAATATTCTTGCCTATCGGATATCCGGTCACTGCGATGGACTACACGGCGTTAACCATGCTCCTCATCAAGTCTGACCGATTCCTGAATTCCTATCAAACGCTCGGATTCGTATGCCTCGATGATCAATCCGTTCACCTGATATGAAAGCCATTAGTCACTTGCGGGATAAATCGGGATGCAAGATTACTAAAAGCCAAACATAAGCTAGCCCGGACAGATTTGGCGGTTCATAAATCAACTGGTTCAAAGTAAGATAGGATAAATCGGTGAAGTAATTGATGTACACGGGGGGAAGTTCCCTGTGTTATTAATACATAGATTAATTGCTTAGTTCACAATAATTTTAGTGTAGTTTGGGCGGGGTAGAGGTGGGGGGAGGAGAGGAGACGTGGATGAAATTGTAGCAGCTACAGCAGTTACACGTGGACACAAACGAGATGCGTTGAAATAAATCCACATACTGGACGTGTGTTACACATGTCATTCACGATATGATTTGTTTACTGCAACCCATGGAAACCATTTTCTGTGGAACTTCTTTTCATGCTTATAGATAGAATAAAGGTATGCAGAGAACTCCACTAGTTGAAATTACTATGTTATTAATTTTGATATCAGACTGTGATAGTAAAAATATATCGTCAAATACTTTAATTTGTTCAATAGTGAAATCTGAAATGGTATCATGTCAGTTGTATCGTTCCACTTTTGACGAAGACTGACAACTATTTGATAATATGAACACAAAATTTAGACCAGATAATTCTGAGTTTCTTTTGTTGTTCATGATTGACCTAAATTTTTGATATCATTTTATTTCCATTCAACCCTCATGCTGTCCGTTGATGTCATTGAAATTGATTGACTAAAAACTCTATTTTTATCCTTTTAGTTATGATTTTTGAAAGTTTTTGTTCATCTCTATCGTGCGTACACGCATCAATACGTACAAACACGCGCGCTTTGTTTCATTTTCAGGGCCGGCGGGCGATTCACGAACGGTCCATTCAATGTGCGGTAAGTAGGAGTGTAGCCTTTTGTGAAATGTGAAAAGGGAATGGAATGGATTATTGGGGTGGTGATGGTGATGGGGGTGAAGAATTCAGTTGAATTCACTGTTGTTCTCATATCCCTATTTCAATTCGATGCTCACAATCATTATAGTCTCATTCAGGAAGCACTGATGAAATTTATTATTATTATCATAATTACTGGATTACACAGTTAGTCTTAATGGGACGGCGGTCAAGTAACAGAAGTCTCAGAGACAAAGAAGTATGGAGATCAAACGGTATTCGTGGGATTCAAACGCATACGACTCCCCGGGGCAATGTCATGGTGACCTGAGGCATTGAACATGCCCAGAAAACATAAAACAATGTATGGAAATCCTACAATACATATATAATTCTCAGTAGAAATACCAAACAGCTGCTCATCGTGTGCAATCTTTCTCACGTATTTAAAAATATACACATAAAATTGAGTAAGTTAATTCATTCGATAGAGACATTTCTTTTTCTGGATTTATACGATATCATCTGCTGTTAAAGTTTCAAATACCATAAACCTTGGATTCATTCAGAAAGCTGGCAACTCAGTTGCATCAATCTAACAAAAAAGTATAAAACAGATGCCGTTTACATTGTTCTGAACACGAATATTTAATTCGTTAATAATTTATTCAAATAAATACCGGTAAAATAGAGCTTTCTTTGTGGACTGAAAACGTTGCTCTTTTATACTGAGTTCCTCGTTCACTTTCGGGTTTCCACCTGTATCCAATATCTTTTGCTTATCTGTCTTTGCCAACAACAACATCAGGTAATCGCTTGATAGCTGAGCCACATTTGACGAGCGTTGCAGCATCTCAACCTCGTGTCTTGGCCGTGATCTGTAATCCCGTTTGCCTGTTCGAAATGCCCTGATTCATTATGATCTGAGCAATACCCACCTCTATTTATTCTCCTGTATTCTTCACAGGTGTACTTCGATTCCGATTTCACAATCATTCCAACTAAATCCTTTTTGTGTCAATCTCGCCGCCCCCCGGAGATGATGTTCATTGATGGTTAGAGACACTGAGTGTGGCAAACAGTGGCGCTCGTGCATCCACCCATTATTCTTCA